AAAAAAAAAAAAAAATTACCTGGGGGCTGGGGATTTAGCTCAGTGGTGCTGCTACTTGCCTTGCAAGCACAAGGTCCTGAGTTTGATCCCCAGTACAAAAAAAAAAAATTTACTTGATTTGAGGGTATAGCTCAGTTGTAGATGCTTACATGCATGTGTGTGTGTGTGTGGGTATTTCACTCCCTCTCACTTACACTCTGGGAGTATACTTATGCTACCATTTTCTTGGGCTTGGCTATACGATGTGCTTTGGTCATTAGGAAGTCAGCAGGCTTGAAATATGATTGTACAACTGGGTGTGTCCTCTTGAGTTTTTGCCATTATGGTAAGAATATTCCCAAGGCTCATCCAAGGAGAACAAGGGGGGACAGGTGCAGTTAAGCCTCTCAGCTGGAGTTGGCGTAGATGAACCAAATCCTTGTCAACTCACTGACACATGAGCTAACCAAATGCTCCCTGATGGTTGCTGGGACTTGAAGGTGTTAAGCTTTACTGTGGCGGTAGATTCCAGATACAAAGAGGAACAACAGCTTGAGGAAGAACACCACTTACTGACACTTACCAATAATGCCTTTGTAGTTGGTTGGTACAATGTCTTCATTCCGAAATTTTGCCCCTTGCAGCTTCAGTCTGGTGTTTACTACCCAGAGTGGAGTTGTTAGCAACACATTCACCACTCCTTAGAAAGAAATGGAGAGACAAAGGGAAAGTAAAGTGTAACCTATTATGATTTGCTATATACCAATATTTTCTTTATACATCTGCCACTGACATCAGGTAAAATGTGTGGGTGTGCCAGGGTATAACACATGCCACCATTAGAAGCAATCTGAAGCCTTGCTGATTAATAGCAAAATGGCTTGGGCCGGGGATTTAGCTCAGTGGTTTCGCCACCTGCTGTGCAAGCGCGAGGACCCGAGTTCGATCTCCAGTACCAAAAAAAAAAAAAAAGCAAAATGGCTCACAGTAGCATCTCTTCACATAAAAAGTACAGTGATTTTCTTTATTCAATAGGAAGCCATCATTTGTTAATTTTTTTTTTTTGGTATCAGGGATTGAACTCAGGTCCTTGTGCTTGCGCAGCAGGCAGCAAAACCACTGAGCTAAATCCCCGGCCCCACATATTTTTTTTATTAAGTTTATTGGTACATTTTAGGTATACAATACAGTTATTTATCGCTGGGTAGTTCACATAGTTTTAAGAGAGTATGAATCTGATACAATGGATGACAGATGGGAAAAAGTGGTGACATTTCAAAGTGCTTCAACCAGGACTAGAAGAGTTCCTCATGGCTTAAAGAATTAGGGCAGGCAGGCAGTAAGCAGCAGTTATGAATTGTCACAAAACACCTGAAACAGCTTCACAAGCATTGTGATCCTTACAAGCATAAGGATGGAACTTGGCCCCCCAAGGCTGCCAGAGTAGAACAATACAATGAGCCAGGTGCTTCTTTTTTGAAAACACATGGTCCCAATTTAACATCATCTTGAGATATTAAAATGCCCATCAGCCCTGAAATGATGAAAAACATACTATACAGAAGTATAACCAAGTGCCTGGCACATAGGATACACTTTATTATAAATGTTAAGCAAGGAATAAACTCAGCAAGCAAGTACACAGGGAGCTGTGTGGCTCTCATCATGCTCTGAAGAACCCAGGGGCACAATCCTAAGGAAGAGAAATGTTCTTTTACTAAAAGTCATTTAAACACAACTGGATAAAGAATGTTTTGATTTAAGGAATCTCAAAACACACAGAACATAAGAGTTTAGTCAAGCCATGCCTGTAATACCAGCACTCTGAGAGGCTGATGCAGGCTGAAAGTTCAAGGGCAGCCTGGGCAATTTAGTGACTTAGGAAGAACCTGTCTCAGAAGAAAGAGGGTACAGTAAGGGCTGAGGATGTAGCTCAGTGTGAAGCCCCTGGGCTCAATCCCTAGTCCAAAAAAACGTTTAGCCAAGGGGCTAGGGATTTAGCTCAGTGGTTCCGGCACCTGCCTAGCAAGTGCAAGGCCCCAAGTTCGATCCCCAGTACCAAAAAAAAAAAAAAAAAAAAAAAAAAAAATTAGCAAAGGATTAAAGCTGGTGAAACAGCTAAAAGATTCAAATTCAGATTCAGTATTTGGTGCACATAGTTGCAAAAGATATTTTTCAACCTATCACTTAGGAGCACTAGAATATATTTTTCAAAAAAAAGACATCATCATATAATTTGGTGAATTGTATGTTATATTTTTATAGATTCACAAAATACCAAGATCTTTTGTTATAACAATATATGCATACACTGTTACTTGAGGCATTGATCACAATCTGAAAAAGTCTTACCAGAAAGACTGTTGTTAGTCTTTTTTTTTTTTTGGTACCAGGGATCGAACTTGGGTCCTTGCGCTTGCGAGGCAGGCAGTGGAACCACTGAGCAGATCCGTGGGCCCGCTAATCTTATTTTTAACAAGTGCCAGTGCTGCAGAGGCCAAGATAGAAGGATATCAATATGCACCTACCTGCAGAGTTCAGAACAGATTCCTGTTCAATGCAATGCACTAGACTAGAAGTGAACTGAGTAATTTATTGGACTTTCTTTTTTTGTTTTTAAAAGAAAACCGAGAACTCAAGATCACATGTTCTCTGGATACTGTAAAAAGGCAGTGTACAAACCCTTCTAAACAAATGGAAGTGTGTTGCCCATGTAAACAAATTCTTTAAAAATCAAAAATTTCCTTCATGTTCTATTCAAGAAGTAAGCATACAACAGGACATGTTTGAGGCAATGCAACCAAGATTAAGATTTAACCATAATTTAAAATTCTGCTTTCACATCCCCATTACTAACACAGCTGAAGGACTGAAAGGATTCTAAGGTCAAGCTCTGTCAAAGTGCACTACATTACTTAAGTAAGAGCATACAAAGTCCTTACAAAAACATTTTGTATGTCAAAGCTCTGTAAGTACTTTTTTCATCTGAGTCAAGATAGATTAAGAGGTACTTTTTAACCACTATAATTTTATAAATTCTTGGAAAAGAAACTGAAAATACTTGAGAATCCAAAACTTTATTAAAATTTGCAACTTGTATAATCAAGCAAAGGACAACATTCCATGGAGGTGAAACATGCCACAAATGATCCAAGAATACTAACTCCAACTCTTAATAATGCATGACAGGCTGGAAAGATAAAGGATGCTGTCTGCTTATTTATGAGCTTATATTAATAAAGTCTGGCCAGTTACAATCTGTGAACATGACTTCAGCTCTAAAATGGAAATATAAATTAGTACTTTACCTACTTAAGGACAGGAGGTTATTTTTCTCCTAATTTGAATGTCTATTGTTCTGTTTTTTTTTTTTTCTTTTAAAATAACGAATCTGAGCTGGAGATGTAGCTCAGCAGTGCCACACCTGCCTGGCAAGCACAAGCTCCTGAGTTTGATCCCCAGTACCAGAAAAAAAAATTATTAAAAAAAAAAAACAACCAAAATTAAGAAGACTGGTAATTGAACATGTAGAATTATTTATTCATCAATTCAGGTGTAGGATTCTGGGGACTATCACCCCAAAGCTCAGTACCCTAGTATGCTGATTATCTTAAATTAGAGGCCCTTGGAGATAACCAGATGCTGGAAAGGCTTGACTCATGCTCACTTATCTGCCTAAAGACCATCTGGCAAGAGGAAAACAATTTACCTTAGCATCCCTCCCCTACCTACTACAGGGAGGAAAACAGAAATGTTGTCATTCCTGGATAGACTGTCACATGTTGACGCAGCTGGACAGAATGTGTCACAATCTATTGTCTGTCTCCCATCCCATTCATTCCCCCTAATAACTATCTACTACCCCTCAAAAAATTATTTTCCTCTCCTCTATGAACAAAGACATCTAGGCATCTGAACTTCACTGAATTACTGAGTAGTCACTCTCCTATGATCCTCTATTCAAGTTAAACAAATGAGTGTGCCTTTTCTCCTGTTTATCTGTTGACTGCCAGTTCATTTCCAGGAACCTTTGGAGGGTGAGGGGGGAGCTTTCCCTTCATCCCCACAGAAGGAGTAACAGAAATATAGCTATTTACTTCTGAAATCTTTTTTCTTTCTTTCTTTTTTTTTTGGTACCAGGGATCAAACTCTGGACCTTGCACTTGCAAGGCAGGCCAGAGCCACTGAGCTAAATCCCTGGCCCTACTTCTGAAATCTTAAAAACAAACAGTTTTATAAGCAGTTGGCTCCTTGGTTAGGGAGCCTAGTGATACAAGAAAATGGCAGGTCAAAGCCATTTGACTCTAGGACAAGGAAGGAATTTAACTTGATATAAAACAAGAATAAACTTGAGTTGCCAGAGTAAGGCCTGAGGGCATGAAATGCATTTTGAACTCTCACAACAATGATAATACCACTGGCACTCAAAAGAATTACTGGCAAAAATTCCAATTTCATAAAAATGACAAGTATCTTCTTCATTTAACTAATTGGTATGGTTCTGTTCCCAAATTCTTCCAGAGTGTTTATGAGTTTTTTCTGTGAAAATACAGTAAATAATAATATTAAATTTCTAAGTTTCAAACAGAATTTGAATAACAATAATGTTCCTAGTTCTCCTCGGTGATAATGAAACTCATTTCCTCAGTGATAATGTGCCAACAGGGCTTACCAGAGGAAGAGAAAATGCTGTTCTAATTACTGTAAGAATGTGTACTTATTAACATGTAAAAACATGTTATGAAGAGAAGTTTAAAACAAAAAATAATTTCTAAGGAATTCTCTATGGTCAGAAAGAGAGAAGACCTTCAATCAGAGAATCTCAGCATTACAAAGTACTAGAAAATTGTTTGATCCAGGATCTCTCAACTGTGACAATACTGATGTTTTGGGTTGGATGAATCTTTGGTATGTACATGTGTGTCCCCCTGTGTAGGATGATTAGCAGTACCCCTGTCCTCTACTCACTATATGCCCATAGCATCCACAGTGTGACAACCAAAAATGTCTCCAGACATTGCCATATGTTCTCTAAATCAGACAAGATCAGGTGTGTTCAGGGTGGTATGGCTGTAGACTGTTCTCTGTAAATCAAAATTGGCCTCAATTGAGAATCACTGATCTAATTCAATCACCCAATGATTAATCACGCTAATTTAAAAAATCTTGAAAGACAGGTATTCAGCTTCACCCTAATGGTCTATTTTTTAAATAGCTATCGGGACTTTCTACTGATATTAACTTTCTACTGATACTGATATGCTTATCATATATATTTCATGTCTAATCATCAGAGAAATGCAAATCAAAACAGGTATCTTATCCCAGTTAGAATGGTTATTATAAAAAAGACAAACATTCTGTTATCCCAACAATACGTATGAGTTTTGTTTTTAGTGTTAGTTAAAGAAATAAAAAATTAAAAATATAACAAATGCTGGCAAGGATACAGAGACAGGGGAATTCTTATGCACTGTTAGTGGGAATAAAAATTAGTACAGCCATTATGGAAAATAGTAGGCAGTTTTCCTCAAAACAAAAACAAAACCCCCCAAAACAGAAATACCATATGATCCAGCAATCCCACTACTGAGGTACATATCTGTGATATTAATCTTGACTGTCAACTTGATTGGCTTGAGGGCCACCTAGGGGATTAGTGAAGCACACTTCCAGGTGTGTCTGGGTGAGTAATGGAGGTGTGGCCTTGGAGACTATATCTGGTCCCTGGCCTCTTCCTCTCAGGGGCTCTTCCCCCATGCCCTGCTTCCTGGTCACCAGGAAGTGAGCAGTTTTGCTCCACTAGACCATTCTGCCATGATGTTTCTGTCTGCCTTGGAGCCAACTAGCAGGGACTGAAACCTCTAAAGCCATGAACCAAATTAAACCTCTCCTTTTTTTTTTGGTACTGGGGATCGAACTCGGGTCCTTACATTTGGGAGGCAAGTGACAGAACCACGGAGCTAAAATCCCCAGCCCAACCTCTCCTCTATTAAATTGCAGGTATCAGGTACTTTGGCCCAGCACTGGGAAAGCTGAACAATACAAAGGAAATGAAATCATTGTATCAGAGATCCCTGCATATCCATGTTCACTGCAGCACTCTCCACAACAGCTAAGAGATAGAATAAACCAAGATGTCCACCTACAGTTGAATGGATATAGAATATGTGTGTATATATGTGAAATGAAATAAAATGAATAAAATAAAATGAAAAATAAAATGAAATATTATTCAGACACAAAAAAGATAAGATCCTATCATTTGTGTCAACATGCATGGAATTGGAGGACATTATTTTAAGTAAAATAAGCCAGACACAGAAAGACAAATACCACAGCCTGTCACTTTAAGGAAGGTAAAAAAAGTTGATCCTGTAGAAGTAGAGAGCACACAGAGGTCACTAGAGGCTAGGAAGGGAAGAAAAGGAGGGAATATCAAGAGGTTGGGGGCCGGGGATTTAGCTCAGTGGTTCCGCCGCCTGCCTTGCAAGCACAAGGTCCCAAGTTTGATCCCCGGTACCAAAAAAACAAAACAAAACAAGACATTGGAAAAGGTACTAAAATACAGTTAGATAAAGGCATTAGTTCTAACATTCCTTCACACAGTAGGGCAACTATAGTGTATAACAATTTATTATATACTTTAAAATAACTGGAGAAGTTTGAAGGTTCTCAACACATAGAAATGATAATATTTGAGAAGATGGAAATGCTTATTATCCTGATTTGATCATTGCATACTGTACACATGCATCAAATTATAAAACTATTCCCAAAAATCAATATAAATTTATATGTAAACTTTTAAAATATAGATTACAGAAACCACTGTGCTGGCCTGATTCTAGTTGCTATGCATACAGCAGTAAATAAAAAATGAAATCTCTGTCCTCACGAAGCTTATAATCTAAAGGTGTAAGAATGACAATAAACAAGATCGACAATAAACAAGAATGACAGGGTTGGGGATTTAGCTCAGTAGTTCTGCCGCCTGCCTCGCAAACCAAGGTCCCCAGTTCAATCCCCAGTACCAAAAAAAAAATGACAATAAACGAAGCTTACAATCTAATAGGGTAAGAATGACAATAAAAGGGCCGGGGATTTAGCTCAGTGGTTCTGGCACCTGCCTCAAAAGCGCAAGGTCCTGAGTTTGATCCCCAGTACCAAAAAAAAAAAAAAAATTTAATTGCTTTCTACTGGGGCCGGGGATTTAGCTCAGTGGCACCGTGCCTGCCTCGCAAGCACAAGGTCCTGAGTTTGATCCCTGGAACCAAAAAAAAGAAGATAAAGGTTAAGGACAAAATTCAAACAGAGAAGGGAGACAGAGACTATTAAGAGTTTTAAGGGGTGTAAGAGTTCACCATGCAGTTACCAGTAGGAACACAGCTGGACACAGGTAGAACATGTTACTAGTGGTCAGGGAGGACAGAGACCATGGTGGCTACAGCAGTATGAGTGAAGAGAAGAATAGCAGGGTCAGATCATGTAGAGCTTTGTAGGGAAAGGTAAGGACTGTGGCTTTTACTTCAGTGAGATGGGAAGCAACTGGAGAGCTTTCAATAGCGTAATGACATTGTCTCACTTACGTTTTAATATGATCACAGTGGATGCTGTGCTGAATACAGCCTGAAGAGGGCAAAAGAGGAAGCAGGAGATCAGTTAGAAAGTTCTGAAGATAATCCAGGCAAGATGTGATGGTGGTTGGGCCTTAAGTAGTGGAGAGAAACATAGTAGTTCTCCTCACCCCAATCCTCAATTTCATGTTCTGTAGTTTCCATTACTGAAGTCAAATGTGGCCCAAAAATATTAAATAGAAAATGCCATAAATAAGCAACCCATGTTTTAAGTAACTTTTATAATATTGTTATAACTGGTAACTATTCTATTTATCTGCTATTAATTCTTACTGTGCCTAATCTATAAATTAAACTTTATCATATCTATGTATAGGAAAAACATACCATATACAGTTTGCTACTACTTACATTCACCAGGGGACCTTGCAATGTATTTCCCAAGGATGAGAGGGGACTACTATAGTGGAATTCTGGATCCCATTTGAAGAAAGAGATACTAGGATTTGCTCAGGGATCAGAGGTGGGGGGAGACAGAAAGGATAAATTCAGGATTTCTGGTAGGGAAACTAGAAGACTATTGTTGTTATTTAGTAAAATGGGAAGACTACAGGAAGAATAGTCCTTTATTTCAAATCAGCACCTTTGTCATGCCAGGCATTGTGCTAGGACTCTGGGGATGCAGAGATAATAAAAAAGGCAATCTCTGATTAAAGGAGCTTATTCTCTGGTAGAAAATAAAGCAGAATATGGAACCTTGTTATTATACAGTGAACTCTTGCCATTAAGAGGTACGTACCATGTTGGAGTACAGAAGAATGGTGCCAAATCCAGAACAAAATGTGAGGGTAGTGGGTATGGGAAACAAGGAAGGATTCCTGAAGAAGAGGAAGCTGAGAAGAGAAGGATGAATAGGAGTCTAAGATGAAATAAGCACCAACACTATTTCAGGCAGAACACAGTCACTGTAGAGGAATGGAATCACTACTAAATGGCTTGGGGCTGTCACAGAATCACACCCTGGCATGGGAGGATACTCATGCCATAACACTTTGCCTATAGTAACAGAGAAAATGGGCAGAAGCATGTTTGAGAAAAGACAAAATTCACTCTTGGTACACACAGAACTCACTGGACAGAAGCAGAAGAGCAGGACATACTAGCGTGACAGAACTCAACCTGCACCCCTTCTGCCCTTCCTTCTAATCACATGGTTGGTTGGTCTGGCTATCAGCATCCAATTAGCATACACTCAGGTATGGTCAAATCTAACAGTTTGAGGAGCTATGCCTGACAGCAAGAACAAAAGCTACACCATATACATGTATGTATGGACTCGTACAATTCAAGGACCAAAGAAATTAGATTAGAAATTGGGCAAAACATTTGAAGAGCCATTTCTGCAAAGATGATATACAAACGGCAATAAGCACATTAAAAGATGTTCAACATCAGAAAAATGCAAATCAAAACCAAAATGATATATCACCTCATACCAATTTGGATGGCTACCACCATAGAACAGAAAATAAGTATTGGTGAGGCAGTGGAGAAACTGGAGCTTCTGTATTACTGCTGGTATTATAATGGTATTACTGCTATGGAAAACATTATGCAGGGTTCCCCCAAAACTAAACATAAAACATCACCCAGCAATCCTATTTCTGGTATATATCCAAAAGAATTCAAAGCAGGCTCTCAAAGAGGTATTTGCACACCCATATTCACAGGGAGTACTATTCACAATGGCCATGAGGTATAAGCAACCCAAATGTTCATAACAGATGAGTGAATAAACACAATGTGATATATACATACTAAAGATTCTTATCCAACCATAAAAGAGGTGTTTTTTTGAGACAGTCTCGCTATGAAGTTCAGGCTAGCCTCGAACTTACTATGTAACCCAGGCTGACCTCAAACTTACAGCAATCCTCCTGCCTCAGCCTCCCAAGGGCTGGGATCACAGGTGTGCGCCACCACACCTGAAGAAAATATGTCACATGCTACAACATGGATGAACCTTGAACACATCATACTAAGTGAAGTGAGCCAGTCACAAAAAAACAAATACTGTACTATAAGATTCCATTTACATGAGGTATCTAAAGTAAAATTCTTAAAAAGAGAAAGAAGAATAGTGGTTACCAGGGGCTGGGCAAAGGGGGAAAGGAGAGTTTATTTAAGGAGTATAGAGTAAGGTTTGCAAGATGAAAGTTCTGTAGATCTGCTTCAAAACTTGAAAAAAGTGTAAATTACAAAAGTGTAAATATACTTAATACTATTGAGTTTAAAATGGTTAAGACAGGGGCTGGGGATTTAGCTCAGTGGTGCCACCGCCAGCCTTGTAAGCATCAGGTCCTGAGTTCGATCCCTGGTACCAAAAATAAATAAAATAAAATAAAATGGTTAAGACAGTAGATTTTACATATGAAAAATACATGAGAAAACTATACTCTTTCTATATGTACTGCCAAAGTGAGCACAAGAAAACTATACTCTTTGTAGCATTCATGGTGCTAAAATAATCTTAGAGGATATGTGAACTAAAAGATAAATATTAAAATATAAAAACATTTTATGCCTAGAAAACCTTATTACCTGCAACAAATCCAACCACCAGATCTTTTCCAGTAGTCGAACGTTGACCTTTGACCCAGACTGCTTTGAGGCTATTAAAAGTGTAGAAATAGACAAAATTGGAGCAGCAGAGACTGGAAATAACTGGAAGCCACCCTCGATACGGTGCCAGGCTAGGGAAGAAACACAAGAAATAATGTGAAAGTCATGGACAAAAGCTGTTAGAAACTGCCAGAGAAGTCCTAGGAAAGGTTGATTGTTAGTCATATAGTTTCCAGATTTATCCCTATATTATAATGGACTCCAAATCATAAACATACTTTACATTCTTTTTTTCTTTCCTATTTTTCTTTTTGGAATACTGGGGATTGAACACAAGGCCTTTGCACCAAGTTACAACCATAGCCCTTTTTATTATGTTTTTTTTTTTTAATTTTGAGACACTAAATTTTAAATTTGGTGAATTAGTTCTCACTAATTCACTAAGTTACCCAGGCTGGGCTCAAACTTGAGATCCTCCTGCCTCAGCCTCTCAGAGTGCTGGGATTACCGCCCTGTTCCACAATACCCAGCCACACCTTACATTCTGAAGGATATCCAAATCAAGAAATTCTAGATTAGTAATACCAAGGAAACAATACAAAGTCAATGACTGACTTACTAATTTCTTTCCTTAATTGCCTTTAGTAACATTAGTATGTAAAACTGGAGAAAATTTCACCATGGCTTAGTTAACATAGCATCATTCAGTCATTCACTTCTTTTTTTGAGACAAGGTCTCACTATGTAGTGTAGGCTGGTCTTAAACTTGTGATTCTCCTGCCTCAGCCTCCCCAGTGATGCAAATACAAGTGTGTGCCACCATGCTGGCCATCACTCATCTTTTATTTACAGGACAAGAACATTTAAAAAGTAATTAATGGAAAAGACATCAAGAAAAATATGATTGGAGTATATCATAAGGACAAAGGAACTGGACTGAAGGGGCTCCTACTGGCCAAATCTGGGATAATTTGAGCACTAAGGTAATGAAGTACAGTAATCAATTAATAAACTACTGAAAAAGGAGGAATTTTAGTACATATTGATGATAGATAGATAGATAGGGAAGGGAAAAGTTCCTGTTCACAGTAGAATGTCAAGATTAGTAAATGTGGACACAATTCTGGAACTGGAAAGTCATTTACAATTCTCTGGGAAATTCAGGGGGAGGGAGTTTGATAAGGAACAGGATGTTTGCATTGTCTTAAAGTATCTCCCCAGAGAATGAAAAAATATTATACAGTGGCTAAATCAAGCATGAAATCATAAGCAACCAATGAAGAGCAGGCAGACAATATATAACTCCTGATGTGATACCTCAAGAAAGAAATAATATCACTTATGCATTTTTTTTTGAGAGGACTTCTTGCTATGTGCCCAGGGTGGGCTCAAGCCATGCTCCTATCTCAGCCTCCCAAGCAGCTGGAACTGCAGGTGTGTACCACTGCACCAGCCATCTGTGGGTTCATTATTTTAAGAATGTATAGGGCCAGGGATTTAGCTGAGTGGTGCTGCTACCTGCCCTGCAAGGGCAAGGTCCTGAGTTCAATCTGTGGTACCAGAAAAAAAAAAAAAAAGGTATAAGCTTAATCTAATCATGAGACAAGACAAATTTAAAATGAAAAACATTCTGTATTTTTAAAAAAGTGCTGGGTGCGGTAGCTTATGCCTGTAATCCCAGCACTCAGGAGGCTGAAGCAGGAAGATCACCCGAAGTTCAAGTCCAGCCTGGGCTACACAGTGAGTTCAAGGCCAGGCTGAACTACATAGAGAGATCTTGTCTCACCAAAAAAAAAGGTGTGTGTGTAGGAGGATGTGACAGTTACTCAAGGGACCAGTAAAGCACACTTGTGAGTGGCTGGGTAGGTCGTGGAGATGTGACCTTGGGGACAAGGTCTGGTCCCTAATTTTCTCTCCTGCATTCTTCCCTTGGCTGCTCTGCTTCCTGGATGCCATGAAATGGGCAGCTCTGCTCTACCATCCTCTTCTGCCATGATGTTCCTGCCTTGGAGACAACTGAACAAGGCCTGAAACCTCTGAGAGTATGAACCAAAATAAACCTCTCCTTTAAATTGCAAATGTCAGGTATTTAGTCCCAGCAATGGGAAAGCTGACCTATAGGGTGGGGAGGACTGTATTCTTCAAAAGTGTCAATGTCCCCAGTCATGGTGGCACTTGCCTGTAATTTTAACATTCTAGGAGGCTGAGGCAGGAAGACTCCAAGTTCAATCCAAGCCTGGGCAACTGAATGACTCAGCAAGACCCTGTCTCAAAAAATAAAAAGGGTTTGGGCCGGGGATTTAGTTCAGTGGTTTCGCGGCCTGCTGTGCAAGTGCAAGGACCCGAGTTCAATCCCTGGTACCAAAAAAATAAAAAAAATAAAAAAATAAAAAATAAAAAGGGCTGGAGATGTAGTTCAACACTAAAGCCCTGAGTTCAATCCCTAGTAACACAGACACAGACACAGACACACACACACATCAGCTGGGCATGGTGACACATGCTTGTAATCTGAGCACTCAGAAGCATGAGATAGGAGGATCAAGAGTTTGAGACCAGCCTAGACCACATAGTGAGACCCTGTCGAAGGAAGGAAGGAAGGAATAAAGAAGGAAGGAAGGAAGCCAGTATCACAGCAGTTAAAAGGATTTGATGCATTTAACTTCTTCTCAAATAACCCTGAAAATATTTGTGTGTGGTATATGTGTGTGATAAGATAGGAAGGAGGAAAAGTGTGTGCACAAATGGTAAAACAGTGGAAAATAAGGTTAACAATAGATAAATCTGGGTAAAGCATATACTGGTCTTCTTTGTACAAACTTCAGCTTTGCAACTTTTTGTAAATCTGAAATTATTTCCAAATTTTAAAAAATAGGGACACAATTTGTCTGAATGCATCTGATAAAAATGAACTAAACAACTATTATCTTAAATTTGTTGCACGCTAAACAAAGCACCAGTTTTCTGGAAAAGACTCCATGATAAAGAATCAAATGGCTAACCATAAATTTTTAAGGAACTGAAAACAATTACATACTTAGTCAGGCAGTTACAAATCCACAACATTACAAAGCTATGAGACTAGAGAGAGAGTTTAGGTGCGCTGGAGGCTAAGGAATCTCTTAATGAGTTGCTTTGTCTAACACAGTTGTGAGATGCGGTAGTACTCACAGGCCTTCTTCTTTAATGATCTCCAGCAGCACCATGTGCGTAGTTTTGGACTTTCTTTTCTCATCAACTGCAAGACCAAAGAGCACATGTCAATTAGAGAATTATTACTTCCAGCATCAGAAAATTTCACTGAAATGTTATTTACCCAACCTCCATGATCTCTTACCCTATTCTTTTAGCCAGCTAGATTGCCTCAGATTTTCCTGTGCTAAATTCCTAATTATAGATTCCTTGGACTTCACTTGTTATTCATAAAGCATTTTAGTTAAACTTCTAATTTCCAAATTAAAGTAGAAATTTATTTCTTATTTCATTTGATTGATTGACTGATTATTGAGATAGGGTCTCACTGTGTAGTTCTGGCTAGCTTTCAGTTCACTATGTAGTCCAGACTGGCCTCAAACTCACGGCAACTCTCCTGCCTCAGCCTGCCAAGTGCTGGGATTACAGGTATGCACCACCACACCTGGCAATTATTGCTTATATTCTATAAAGTTCCTGTTTTTTAAAGTAATATATATTCATAGTTTTATCCTAATATCCTATAAATAGAAAATAAATTACTATCTTTCTTTTACAAAAGAGGCTACAGACACAAAAGCAAAGTCAGTATTAAAACTCAAATTTCAGCCCATAATCCCAGCACTTTAAGAGGCTGAGGCAAGAGGATTCCAAGTTTGTGTCCAGCCTGGACAACTTAGCGAGAATCTGTCTTGAAACTAAAAAATAAAAAAGGGCTGAGAATGTAGTTCAGTGTGAAGGAGCTGGGTTCAGTCCCCAGTATCACCAAAACAAAAAGTAAAACAAAATAAACTCTAAATTTCAAGTTTTTGGCCTTGATTTATAGTCCTAAAATATGGTGAAAAAACTCACAAAAGGATGAAAACTCTGCTTCTCACTGAAAACAACCTCTATTAACTTCAAATTTCCTACCCACACTTGAAAGTAATTTGAGAACATAAAAATACGAAAATTAACCAACTTTCTAAGAATTAGGTTGGGTACCAGTGTGGCTTATGAAATGGCAAATTAGTAAACTCCTAGTGAAAGCAGTCTGGCAATAACTATCAAAATTACAAATACATCTACCTTTTGATACAGTAATCCTATGTCTGGGAATTTGTCCAAGGAAACTTAGAGAAACAAAGAGGTATATGAACAAACCCATATTTACATCCTATTTGTAATAACAAAACAGTGAAAAGAACCCAAGAATGCACAGTAAGGGAAGGGGAAATAGGTTCAACACCATGGAGCACTCTACAGCTGTAAGACAGGATATGCTGATTTGAAATCTAAAACATACTATTAAGCTCAAAATGCAAGGTTCCAACAGTGTGTAAAGCATGGTTTTTGTTTAAATAAGGCAGAAAATTAAGAATGTATGTTATTTGCTGGTATTTTATAAAGAAAGTCTGCAAGGCTACTCAGGAAAGCAGGAAAGGCTGATTATCACTCAGTCTCAAGGATCACTCCTTCACTACCATGGACTCCGAATAGTGCAGTTCCCCCCACTCCCTTCCCCTTTCCTCTTTTCTTCTCTTCTCTCTCCCATCTCCCCTCTCCCGCTCTTGCTGGGGATTGGACCCAGGGCCTCATGCATGAGAACCACTCTACCACTGAGCTACATCCCCAGGTCTCTTCTTTTTTTTTTTGTATTGGGGATCGAACTCGGGTCCTTCTGCTTGCAAGGCAGGCAGCGGAACCACTGAGCTAAATCCCTGGGCCCCTCTTCTTTTTTGTAAGTGAAAAAGATAGGGCACTTGGAAGCAGAGGTAGGAGGCCAGCCTGGGCTACAACAAGAGAAAGCCTGTGTCAGAAAATAAAGAAAACTCGATGAGGTCCTGATATGTTGTTCAGGCTGGCCCTAAACTCCTGGGCTCAAGCAATTCTCCTTCAGCCTCTTGAATAGCTGCAACTACAGGTTATGAGGCACCACTCAGGGGCTACACCTTCCACTCTGAAGACATTCAGATGAAAAAGGTTTTCTAGCATTGATGACACCAAAGAAATACCACAAAGTGAATACTGACTAACATGGAGAGAGGGGCAGGGAAGATTGGAGTGAATGTTCCCTGCATTATATACCTTTTTGTATATTTTGCTTTTTGAATCATGAAATTATTACCTATTCAAAACTAAATTAAACACACAGTATGCATAAAGAGTTTAACCTTTGATTTAGTATTCAAAGATAATCTTATGCATCTTTTTATGTAAGTTCCAGCATTGGTCTATGATTTCAAGATGAAAAAGTTGAGAGAAAAAAAAGCAAGAATTAAGTGAGTTGTGTAATCTATAGAGTTATATTTGGGGTTTTTCTGGGGGGAGGGGGTTACTGAGAATTGAACTAAGGACCTTGCACTTCGAGGCAGGCGCGGTGCCACTGAGTTAAATCCACGGCCTGGAGTCTATAGATTTAACGAGGCAAAGCAGGACAACATGCCTCACTGGCAATGGCAGTAAGGATTTGGGTCGACTATTTTCCTGTTCTCTTTTGAGAAAAATCTACTTCCCTCAAAAAGCTCTACTTTGTGTGTTTAAAAAGCCATGGCTGCTGGAGGTGTAGCTCAGTCTCAAGCATGTGTGAGGGAGAGAGAGAGAGGGAGAGAGAGGGGAGAGAGAGGGGAGAGTGAG